AATGCTATTGGAACAGGCATGAAGTAGGAAACTAAGCACTAGAATGGCTTGGGTTGTGGCGGGCAGTCCAGATGTTGTAGGCAGGGGAAAAAGTTTTTAGAGGAGAATAGCTCTGTCTAGATCTCATGTACAAAGTGTTGCAGTAAAAAGAATATGGTGAAGGAGCTAACCAAAAGTACTTGGGCTTTGAGATTTGCCCATGTAAATAAGTCCTGCATTTTAAAGGCCCCAATGAAGCTTTGAAGTTAACAACTTATTGCCGAGAGCATGATGGCTTTTCATTCTGTGCGACCTTGCATTAAAAGCCAACTGAGGACCTTGAGTACTCCAGCCAACACGTGCTCCTCCTTGCCTCTGCCCTGACTTGCCTCCTCCACCAGGGTCTGTGAGCCCCATTTGTCCAGGGGTTCATTCATGGGGGTAATGTTTCCACCCCAGCAGCCCCAGTGGCGAGTTTCTAGTCTGGTATTCTTTTCAAACTTCTCCTTCCTTTCATTTTAGACCTGTTCTTCCTCATTTTCAACTCATCATTAAGTATTAAGGGTGCACTGAGAAAAGGTGCTAGGCAAAGACCTAGCAAGTCTGGTATTACTGTTTTTAAGCCCCAAAGGAGAGACAAACAAGTACAGTAATTCCCCTTTATTCTTGGTTGTGTTTTCCGTGGTTATCCAAATGTGAAAATGATTACATTCAACAAGATGTCTTGAGAGAGAGAGTGAGCGCTACGTTCACATAACTTTTATTAAAGTATGTTGTTATGATTGCTCTATTTCATTTCAGTTATTGTTCACCTCTTACTGTGTGTAATTTATACATTAAACTTTATCACAGGTATAGGAAAAAGCACAGTATATGTCGGGTTCAGCTCTGTCCATGGCTTCAGGCATCCACTGGGCCTTGCAACCTGTTTGCCAGAGCTAAGGTGGGATGGCTGCAGTAGCAGACCACTGCCATCAACAGCTTGCTCTGTAGTGAGAAGTCAAGCCGCCCAAGACAACTAGCATTAGAAAACAGTCTGTGAAAGATGCCTATGAGGGGTAGCAGACCACGAGAACAAAGATCAGAGGTCTCTGACATTTTCTCCCTTTGCTGGTTTCACTCCTTTCTACCACACTTTCCATTTGCTCGCAGGGTCCAAGAAACCTGTTTGGGTAAAGACAGACTAGTTCCTATATCCTCGTAAGCGTTGGAGGGCAGGACAAGATTTTCTTTACTTCCAACATTTATTTTGTTCTTATTCGAGCTTCATAGGCATTTGATTAATATATTCTTCCTCATGGATGTAAGGTTGTGAAAAATTGCTGTGGCTGTGTTTGAGTGAACAGGAGTCTCACAGCTCTCTTTATGACACCTGCATTTGCTTGCCTACTGCCTGACTGTGGTTAGGGGTGGGAACAGAAGTTGTGGAGTAAAACGCATGGTAGGAAACCAGCAAGTCCTAAGGGATCCAACCCTTCACCTTGGCCTCATGCACATTATTATGCCCTGAGCAACTGAACTAATTGCCCAGTGTTTAGCAGATTAGATCAACAACAAGATCTAAAAGAGTTGCTAATGGTAAGCCCTAGACACTAACTCAGTCGAGCAACAGCTAGGCACCAGAAGAGTCTACTTAAATATTTTTAGGAAAATTTGTTTACATAATTATACCTTAAATATAAATAAATACCAACTTATATGTACATATAAATATGGACACACACACACTAGACCTATATATACATATATAGCCACTGTACTTTATCACTTATAATTGTTTTATTATTCATTAGTTATTGTCTATGAGTATCCTAAGAGTTTACTGTGTTTAATTTATCAATTAAATTGTATCATAGGTATGTATTTATAGAAAAAAGGATATATGGGTTCAGTACGGTCTGTGATATATCTCTATGATTTTTATATGTAGTTTATATTTGTATTCATGTGTATATATGTTGGGGGGAGCAGGGACAGAGAGTGGAATTAAGACTGCAAAGAGGTCAGGGTGGTCAGAAGCCAGTGAGATTGGTCTAGCAGCTCAGCCACGCCTGTTGCGTTTTTGTAGAGTAAGTGGCTCCCCTTCTCGGGGCTGTAGTTTCCCTATCTACCCTAGGTTAATTTTAGGATTATCTAAGCAATAAATGAGGGGTTGAGCTTTTCCACTAGAGTTGCCCAGTCAGCAAGTAGGGTGAAATGAGTGCCTTAGGGATTCTGGAGGCAGAGGGTAGTCTTACAAGTGTCAGATTTTGCTGAAGTCATTTTGTTGGTTGGTCTCAACATTCACCTAAACGTTGTGTTCTGTCCCAGTCATGTTTGTTTACTGTATAGTGTACCCTGTCTTCAAGTTGTATAAAACCAACCTATGGGGAAGTTTTGCTGCGTTTATCTGGCTCTTCGGTGGACTCCCCACAGTCCTGCTTTATTGAATCAGGAGGTTGCAGTGAGGAGTTTTAAACAGGCTTTCTGGAACTCTGAGGATATAAAGGAGCTCTCTGGAGCTCTGAGGCTATAAGGAAGCTCTCTGGAGCTCTGAGGCTATAAGGAAGCTCTCTGGA